GATTACCTCAGGAGATCACATGACCTGCTCATACCTCAGGGGGAGAGATTACCTCATGAGATCACATGACCTGCCCAGGCCTCAGGGGGAGATATTACCTCAGGAGATCACATGACCTGCCCAGGCCCAGGAGGAGAGAGTTCCTCAGGGGATCACATGACCTGCCCAGGCCCAGGAGGAAAGCGTACCTCAGGGGATCACATGACCTGCCCATGCTTTAGGAGGAGATATTACCTCAGGAGATCACATGACTACCTCAGGAGATCACATGACCTGCTCACACTTCAGAGGGAGAGATTACCTCAGGAGATCATGTGACCTGCTCACACTTCAGGGGGAGAGATTACCTCAGGAGATCACATGACCTGCGCACACCTCAGGAGGAGAGATTACCTCAGGAGATCACACGGCCTGCTTAGGCCTCAGGAGGAGATATTACCTCAGGAGATCACATGGCCTGCTCATGCCTCAGGAGGAGAGATTACCTCAGGAGATCACATGACCTGCGCACACCTCAGGAGGAGAGATTACCTCAGGAGATCACATGACCTGCGCACACCTCAGGAGGAGAGATTACCTCAGGAGATCACATGACCTGCGCACACCTCAGGAGGAGAGATTACCTCAGGAGATCACATGACCTGCGCACACCTCAGGAGGAGAGATTACCTCAGGAGATCACATGACCTGCGCACACCTCAGGAGGAGAGATTACCTCAGGAGATCACATGACCTGCGCACACCTCAGGAGGAGAGATTACCTCAGGAGATCACATGACCTGCGCACACCTCAGGAGGAGAGATTACCTCAGGAGATCACATGACCTGCGCACACCTCAGGAGGAGAGATTACCTCAGGAGATCACATGACCTGCGCACACCTCAGGAGGAGAGATTACCTCAGGAGATCACATGACCTGCGCACACCTCAGGAGGAGAGATTACCTCAGGAGATCACATGACCTGCGCACACCTCAGGAGGAGAGATTACCTCAGGAGATCACATGACCTGCGCACACCTCAGGAGGAGAGATTACCTCAGGAGATCACATGACCTGCGCACACCTCAGGAGGAGAGATTACCTCAGGAGATCACATGACCTGCGCACACCTCAGGAGGAGAGATTACCTCAGGAGATCACATGACCTGCGCACACCTCAGGAGGAGAGATTACCTCAGGAGATCACATGACCTGCGCACACCTCAGGAGGAGAGATTACCTCAGGAGATCACATGACCTGCGCACACCTCAGGAGGAGAGATTACCTCAGGAGATCACATGACCTGCGCACACCTCAGGAGGAGAGATTACCTCAGGAGATCACATGACCTGCCCACGCCTCAAGGGGAGATATAACCTCAGGAGATCACACGGACTGCTCACACTTTAGGAGGAGAGATTACCTCAGGAGATCACACAGGCCTTGTCATCATGTTGGGATGTTGCCAGGAGCAACAGCGAGACCTATAAAAGGAGCAATCCAAGAGGGAGAACAAGTGTTGTGCTGTTTCTGCAGCTATGGAGAATGAAGGAGAAGAGCTTACCAGAGGTGTGACAGGAAGTCAGCGGCCCCCTTCACTATGCCCAGACAGGAGCCCCGGGCCCCGTCAGAGGCAGTGCTGCCACCACAGATCCTGCGGCTCCAGCAACAACGGGTAAGAGCTTCTGAGCAGATTTTACCTTCTGATATTGATGTAGAGTCAGATTTATTACTGCCAATCGTGTCCCTTCCCCCCGTGTGTCATCAATGTGTCTTCTGTGTCTGTACCTTCCAATGTACCTTTCATCCCTTTACATGTTCCTGTCCTATCTCCTGTATCAGTAACAGCGCCGAATTCTCCTCAACGTGTTCAATTTGTTGTCACTGCGGAGCAAGGGATAATGCTGTGCTCATCAGCTCCATCCAGTGGCCATAATGCGGTATTACATTACATTGCATTCGACTAGAAAAGAAAATATACTAAAATCATTTGTTTTAACTGACACAAAACAATTCTATTGTTAGAAGTTTTTGGACTCCCGGTCTGTCTTTGTTGCCGCTCTCTTTATACATGTGAATCTACAATTCTGGGTCGCCGTGTATGAGGGACGCCCCGTTTTTGTAGAGAGCGGCCTCACCAGAGCCATTGCGCTTTATTGAGTTCTGACCGATCTTATAAATTGCGCTCCTCACCTCCGCTTGTTCCATATTCCCGCCATGTGACTAAGACGCACATATGTGGTGTTTCTATGTATAGGAGGAGGAGTATAAGGCCCCATTCACACGTAGCGATTTATCACGCGATTTCCGCCGCGATATCGCGCATTTTTGTTGCCCGATATTGCGAGAAGTCGCCGGCTAATGATATTCAATGGAGCTGTCTTAGCTCCATGTCGCGGTCGCAATTTTGCGCGATTTTGCTTTTTTCTAATGGAGCCCGACGGAGAAGGTCGCGCTACCGTCGCTGGATCGTCGCCCCGAAAGTCGCGCTATCCCGGCCGCTGCAAAAGGTATGTCGCTACGTGTGAATGGGGCCTTAAGTATTTTATAGCATCGTTACTTATATACATCGAAAAAAACAACTAGAAACTATTTTTATTTTTTTATTCAACTTTAACCACTTGCAGTCCGGAGCATTTTCCTACTATTTGCGCACACATGATAAAATATACATTTTTGGCTAGAAAACAGCTTCAGACCCCCATACAATGATATATGTTCTGCTAGTTTAAATTTTTTACGTTGCACAGTTTTTGCGCAAATGTTTATCAAACCGGTATTTTTAGGAAAAAATAGACTAAATTAAAATGTAGTGCACAGAAACATAATATAATACCCAATTTTTTGGTAAAATATGAAAGACGGGGTCACGCCGGGTAAATAGATACCAAACATGTCAAGGCTTAAAATTGCGTTCGCACGTGAAGCCGCAAAAAAAAGTAAATACTCAAAATTTCCCATAGGGAACATTTTAAACGCTTTTAGCGCTCATCAGTTTAGTGCTAACAGCGATTGATAGGCCGAGAATTATTGCTTTCGCTGCGTCGTTCACGGCAATATGTAACGTGTAGCGCAATTGTAATTTTTGCACGTAGGCGCGCCGATGCGTGTTTGCGTGTGTATGTGTATGCGCGTGGGGGGCGGGGGACTTAAAAACGTTTTTTTGCATTTATTTTAATCTTTCTTTTATGTTGCTTTAATTTTTATAACTTTTAAACACTTTATTTTTTTTACACTAACCCTATTGCTATCACATAGGGGGATAAACAAGCACCCTATGTAATAGCAAATAGGGTGTGACCTCTTTATGGAGACATCAGGGGTCTTTCAGATCCCTAATGTCACCTAGGGACCCCAAAGAAGCTGAGGAAGCCAAGATCTGCTTCTTCTCCTGGCTCTAAATGGTGCAGCAGCCGTGTTCTTGTTTTAACCTCTTAAAACGGGCCGCCGTCTATAGACGTATTGCGGCACGGAATTGCTTAAGGAGCTCTGATATAAAAATGTTGAAAACATTCACAAATCTCACACGTTTTCTCTGCAGAATGGTGCAATTTTTGTAGATATTTTCAAAGACAGAACCTTTGTTGTCATGTCATAGTGTGAGAAGAAAGCTCCTCATTAGACATGTGCAGCCGCAAAAAAAATGTTTCCTTTCGGATTTCCAAAATTGGGTCCTGTATGTGTTTGGTTTTGGGTTTCGGATCGGATTCGTAATTCGTATCGGATTCGGACGAATTTCCGGAATTTGGGGTATTGCGCGAACGGACGAATGTTTGCACGTAGCAGAATTGGAACAGTTGACATTTCTGGTGGCTGCGCTCCAGTCTTCACTATTAAAGGGATATTAAAATCCTTTTATTATTTTTTTTTAATCCGTTTAAATGTTGACGGCGCACGCACAGGAACATGAAGTAATGTTTTGTTTTTATCTTCACATGCTATGAAATCCTCTTTTTGTAGTCATTATCGTACATTTCTAATTTCTTTTGCATTGGGACGAAATTCGTACACACCATTGTTCCCGCCCCATATACGGACCCCATAACTGGGATAAAACAGGAAGATTTGATATTCTTCAATTCCAGACAAATGAAAAGATTTATTTTAGAAAAACACGTCCTTTTATGTGTTTGAAATAAACAAAAATATTACTTGCATAATTGTCACCATGTTTCCTCCTATTTCTAAAATAAATGAAAGTTTATCATTTGAAGTTTGGTATTAAAAGAGAGAACAATCTGTCCCCCAAAAACATTCTCTATATTGGCTGCAGAACAAAGCAGCGCTTGTAAGACAAATCTACGACATGTCCAAAAGCTGAAAAAAGCCAGTGGACTCGAGGGGGTTCATATACGTTTAGGGTGCTGGGACTCCAGTGAGGGATCATATAGATTCATGGTGCTGGGACTCGACGAGGTCATATAGGTTTAGCGTGCTGGGATATGGGGGGGGGTCATATGTTTATATAGGTTTAGGGAGCTTGGACTTGGGGGGATTGATATAGTTTTAGGGTGCCGGGACTCCAGGGGTTCATATAGGTTTAGGGTGCTGGGACTTGTGGGGGGGTTCATATAGGTTTAGGGTGCCGGGACCTGAGGGATTCATTACAATTATTTATACAGTGCCAACATATTCCACAGCGCTGTACAATCATTTAGACAAGACAAGTAAGAAACACTGACAAGCATCATTGACATACAGAAACAGTAGGTGAGGAGAACCCGGTCTAACCGAGCTTACAATCTGAGAGAAGGGGACCAAAGATACAGAGGTGGGGAAGGCGGACTACAGATGTATACCAAATAAAATGGGAGGGGATTTGGGAGTACTGTGAAACAGGATTCATATAGGTTTAAGGTGCTGGAACTCGAGAGGGTTCATATAGGTTTAAGGAGCTGGAGCGTGAGTGGTCAAGGAAGCCAACAGGCACATAAAGGGAATTTAGTGCAGATCAGAAGGTGAAGGAAGAGGCATGCAAGAAAAAGGAGTGTGTGCCAAGAGGAGTGGTGCTGTCAGGTGATGCAGGGAGCTGTGCAGGGAGGCTGCTGCGAGTCTTGACACTTCCCCATAGTCCATGTTGCGCTCTCTGAGGTCACATAGTGAAGGTGATGAGGTATTCTGGATAGGCCTGGACGTCATTAAATATCACAAACACGGTGGGTCTTGATTCGTTATCTGTGACGCTGTCGTACAAGTCAGTGGGGTTTGATGTGCTCTTGGCTGGCGGGGTGATCATCGTGCTATTCCCGGCACAGTAAACACCGGTGAGGACGCGGGCCAGGTACATGTATTTGTATCCATTTGTATGTGGTTTAGAGTATGTGTCATCCGCAGAGTAATTGGCTTCAATGGCGAAATACGTCCCTTTCCCCAACATCGTAGCTGTGCTCATAGAAAGATAAAAGATTTATTAATCACAAAGCAGAAATACAACACAGAATAATGTCCACAAATGTCAGGTCCGGGATATTATATTGTATTATTGTATCACCTCCCAGAATGCACAAGGAGAAGGCAGCTATAAAGAGACACTACATCAGCCTCTATACAGAGGAGCTTACACTCTAATGTCCCCCCAAGTCACACGCTATTATTAGACATTTATATAGCTCTGACATATACCGCAGTGCTGTACAGAGAACACTGAGCCAGTCACATCAGTCTCTGTACAGTGGAGCTTACACTCTAATGTCCCCACACAGTCACACCAGTCTCTGTACAGAGGAGCTTACACTCTAATGTCCTCACCTCCGTTATAAAGACACATCCACACTCTATGACAGTTGGATGGAAGCCAGTTAACCTACATATGTTATGAGCATACAAAATCCATGCAGATATGTCTTTGCTGGGCATTGAACCCAGGACACCCAAGCATTGAGCATTAGGACACCATGATCCCCAACTGTGCAGTGATATTATACTTCCAGTCTGGGACCCCGGAGTGACTTGCAGTGTGGTGCAGCGGTCCTACTGGGCTCCTCTGGGTACATATTGAACTTATAATTTTAGATGGAGATGATCTCAGAAGACCTGACAAGAATACTGAAGTATAACGGAAGTCACTTCTCACCATTGGCCCCAGCGTAGGCCCTGTTGAACCCGTTGTGACTTATATTATCTGTTGTTCCAAACTCGGTGCCATGGAAAAGCCTCATCTCGTTGGTATTGGTACCATTCTTGGTATCGATACTGTTCTTCTTGATCCGGTAGTTTTGATATAAATGTTTGTTTTGTATCCTCTCAATCTGGAATGAAAGAAAATAAAACTGCTGACAGACTGGCCATGTGTGTTCCCCAATCCTGGTGCTCAGCCGTAAAAGTGCGCACACCGATTTCATCTCATAATGCGGGAAATCTGACATTGAAGGTCTTGATCTGCCCTATGTGGGATCATGTCTGTGTAGAGGAATCTGTGCTGGAAGGGAGGATGGTACTAGTGAGGTGATACCAGGGGGAAGCCCAGCAAGCGGCATGGGTGCCCCAGAGAATTCCCTACAAGGTGCAAATGTGTCTGGTAGGCGCACTGGGAGCTCAGGTACCTCCTCTCCCCCTGCAAGGCCCATTATAGGGAAAGATATTGGATTCCAGTACCTGTAATCAGTATAGGAATTCATTTTCTTTTACACACCTTTTTTCCAACAGAAGCAAAAGACATCTATTGGCAGCATCAACAAGTAATAAAACTATGTCATTGGGGGATATCACATACGTTATGGGATTTTTAGGGTTTGGGGGACTGACTGCATAAAGGACATTTCCTTCTTATGGAAGGTCTGCTATCATTGTGCCTAGTAGAGCCTGCACACTCCTAAGGGCCCCAAATCCGGGGATGTTCTGCGCAAATACCAACCAAACACTATCTAGAAAGCTCAACATGGTCTAGGGTTATGAGTGGTGTGCCCCGGGGTTCTGTGCTAGGCCCCATATTATTCAACCTGTTTATTAATGATATCGGGGAGGGCGTGAATAGCAATGTTTCTGTGTTTGCTGATGTAACTAAAATCGGGAGGGTAATAGACACGGACTTAGACACTAGAACATTACAGGAGGACCTGGATAAAATCGGGGAGGGGCAACTATATGGCAGATGAGGTTTAATGTCAATAAATGTAAAGTAATGCACTTTGGGGTTAAAAACAGGCAAGAGGAATACACATTAATGGGAACTCTACTAGGGAAGTCAGAAATGGAAAAGGATCTGGGGTCATAGTGGACCAAAGATTGAGGAGTAGCTTGCAATGCCAGGCTACTGCAAACAAAGCGAGCAGAGTACTGTCTTGTATTTAAAGGGAATGTACTGTAGAGACAAATCTATAATTTTTTGCCACTTTATAGATCGCTCATCTGGAGTATGCGGTCCCATTTTGGTCACCAATACACAGAAAGGATGTCCTTGAGCTGGAAAGAGTCCAGAGAAGGGCAACTAAACGAGTTCAGGGGCTGGAGGACCAAAGCTATGAAACAAGCTTACTAAATGTAAACATGTTCACGCTGGAAGTGAGGAGATTAAGAGGGGACATGATTCTGATGTACAAAACGTTCAATGGAGATGGCAACATCAGCAATAAACTTTTTACGGTAAACTCCATAACAAAGACAAGAGGCCACCACCTAAAACTGGTGGAGAAAAGATTTCAGCAAAAGGGGCTTCTTCACAGTTAGGTCTCGTTCACACCTAGGCGTATTGCATATGCGCGTCTGTCGCGCGTTTTTTTACCGCGATTCGCGGTAAAAAAAGTTGCGCGACCGTTGCGCGTTTCTGAAGGCTACTTGGCTGTATCCCAATGGAAACGCGCAACAAAACGGCCCAAAGTAGTACATATACCTTTTCAGGCGTGGGCCGTTTTGTAGCGCATTAGGGACGGGTAGAAATACGCCAAGGTGTGAATGAGACCATTGAATACAGTGGGATTTATATTTTCGAGCGTTTTGTAGAGTGTTCGTCGAGCGTAGAACGCGCTACAAATAGTTCAGGTGTGAACGAGGGCTAAGAGCGGTTAGGGTCTGGAACTTGCTGCTGCAAGCAGTAATTTCAGCTGTGAGTATTGAATCTTTCAAAAAGCACTTGGACGATTTCCTCAGGGACCGTAACATACAGGGGTACAGGTAATCATAAGAACAAAATCACACAGGGACTCATACACGCGCATACACATGCAGAATCACATGCATACACGCAATAGGTTGAACTTGATGGACCTGTGTCTTTATTCAACCTCAAATACTATGTAACATTTTCACAATTTTCAAAATTTTAGCTGGTATATTTTTATTTTTTAATGGGCTCTTTATCTTGTTATTTATGGCTGGAATTCTGGTCACAACCATTAAAAATATTATATAATAGTTACACAAGCCCAATAAATGTTATCACAAGTAACTTGTCTTCAGCAGCTACGACTTTATATGACTGCCAAGGAAATGCTCCTTCTCCACAACTATTACAAGTGTACACTGTTCTCATCCCCCTGCTCCTGTAATTGGCTTACCCTTTTATTTCAACTTAGCCCTCACTTTAAGCAATGTATATTGTCATTTTCATGTCTCAACATCTACATTATAGAAGCAGGACGGAATGTGCTTCAAAAATCCATGAGATCTGCATTTTTATATGGAGGGCATTAACTCTTTCTCAACAGTATGTAGTTTCACCTTTGGTATTACCTTGATTATTCTCATTAGACACGTCTGTGTAAAGAGACCCACGACCTCTGTGTAGTCCGGGCTGCTGTTGTTTAGCGGTACCACCTTCAGCTGAGTGTTGTCCATGGCATCCCAGTATGGGGGCATTGTGAGAGACTCAGCTGTAATATAAGGAGTTACATATTGGTTTCATTACATCCATGCGGAACACAATTCTCACACATCAGTGTCTATTGATATGAACCCCTAGGCCATCATCATTGTCATACACTGCAGAACAGAATTGCAGGTAACACATGTCGCAGTCATTCTGCTGATATATTCCTCAGCCCTCAATGAATTAGTATCGGAAGGACAGGAAAGAAAGTACTTTAGCCTAGAAGAATTTTTTTATAGGCAAAGTATTCATTATAAAAGCAAACATGTTCCAAAAATTCAAAAGGCCCCTTTATCCGAGCTTAATACTGGTGAACAAGAGCCAGGGGCGGACTGGGCCCGGAGGCAGGGTGGCAATTCCCCCCCAAGCCTCTCTGATACCTTTGCAAACGCCCCCCACCGCCGCCGTAAGCATTTAATCTCTCCCCTCTTTGCCGCTCTTGTTCTACAGCGGCCAAGAGGGGAGAGATGAAGTGCTTGTGGCGGTGGGGGGCGTTTTGCAAAGGTATCAGTTTTGCAATTGCCACCCTGCCCCCTGGCCTAGTCTGCCCCTGGGTCAGATACCCCGCCGCCGTAAGCATTTAATCTCTCCCCTCTTGGCCGCTCTGCTGCTGCAGCGTCCGAGAGGGGAGAGATGAAGTGCTTGCGGTGGTGGGGGGCGTTTGCAAAGGTATCAGAGAGGCCCGAGGGGCAATTGCCACCCTGCCTCCGGGCCTAGTCCGCCCCTGGGTCAGACTAATTCAGCACGTTATTAATATGAGTGCCCCACTCAATATGGCCGCAAAGATGTGGACTGGGAGTGGGGGTTTTTAATACTGTTTTGATCACACCGCTGAGCGATCCCTCTCTCTCCTCCCGGCCGCTGCAGCTTCAGCTCCACGAGGCGGGCACTCAGAGAGGCAGCTCTGATCGCACCTGTCAGCGCTCACTCTCTCTCCTCCCGACCACTGCAGCTTCAGAGCAGCCGGGAGGAGAGAGAGGGAGCGATAACAGGTGTGATCAGAGCCGCCTCTCTGAGTGCCCACTTCGTGGAGCTGAAGCTGCAGCAGTCGGGAGGAGAGAGAGGG